GCATTTGTTACACATTTCATTTATTTTCGTCTTCCATAATGTTCACACTAGTTAGGGAGGTAGTAAATCGGTATTGGGAATATACCTCTACAAGTGTGTCAAAGAGTGATTTTGCTTTATTTTTCTCAAATGTACTAAACATTTACTTTTAAATTTTTAACCTTTAATTAGCCCTTGTGATATTCGTCGAAAGGGCAGCGGTGATTAGAGAATAAACTTTAGTCTTTTGTCACATGACGAACAGTAGTCTACCAATCGTCTGTGGCGACATATATCACATATCAAATGACAATTCACGCACATAGTCCATCTATGAAACAAATCAACGGATGACGTCACAAAATCCTACATCGCACATGTGAAGTTTACATGCGAATTAATACAGATAGAAAATTCCAACGAACAACTGTAGGGCAGAAAGCCCACCAGACACGATCACCTCGCCTGGGCGGAGGATCCTCCTTTTCCGATCATAGAGAATTATACTCTCTGTTCTTTAAAGTGGTGATAACTTTAGTGTTTTCATCGATATTTGACGTATGACATGTATTGTGTCGCCACAAATCTATAGACCATCTTCTTTAATGTATCAAATTGAAACTACGTTTAAATTCAGTAACATTCTCGTGGGAAGCTTTTCAAATCAGTTTGTACCCACAGCTGCACCTTAAACTATATGAAACTAATTTATAATGACTCTGTTTTATATGATTGTTTCATATATTCAACGGTCAGTTTATATTGGATCAGTATAGTTTGATGTGTAGCTGTGTTTCCAAGTAATCCCTTAAGCCAAGAGCTTGTATTTTGATAGCAAGATAAACTGGATTGGACTGGTTCGCCGATACAGTTACCTAAAACGTTCTAGTCGTAAGCCCTAACTAAGTTTGAAATTGATTTATTTTTATATTTCAGCGAAAAAAAAACTTACTCTCGTTGGTCGAGTTGCTGAGTGTTCGCTAGTAATTGTCGAGCAATGGATTTTAGGTTCCATCTGGTTAAGTAAAATAATATATGTCAATATTTTTTTAAATTTCTCAGGTACAGCACAGAGACGTTGACATGGTAACTAGTAATGTTTATATAATTATGACTGGTGTTTTAATGAATAGTTATTAAAAGGGAGTCATAATTGGTGAACAGTGCATGGCACATTGCATAAGTTCACTTTTACTTCCATATTCCTCGATGTTGTACCTCTATATTTAGGCATATTATCTGTGGCAAGCTGGCCACTTCTAAGAGTGGAAACCTATTTGTGTTCTTCTTTTGTTTTATGAAATATTACGTTAAATTATTTCTACACAATACATTTAAAATATATTATTATATAAAACATTAAATAGGGAGTTGTGACGTAAGTTATGTGATGTTATTATAGGTCTCATTTTAATAAAAATAAAAATAAAAAGGTCTCATTTTAATGGAGAATGTTATTGTAACGTAAATCAAAAAAGTACCAAAGCATTTATCATTATAAGTTAATCTCAAATAGCTTAACTTATAATGACTATTACCTTTCATTGTGTTTATAAAAATATAATGTAAAGAACATTGTGCTATGACGTCACAGTACAACGAAAATTTTACATTAAAACTGCAAGTCATCAACATTTTTGATGCATATTTCAGTCAATTCAGATTGTACGACAAAACTAAGTATACAGATCAATAAGTAACATCGAGGGCTTCATAGTTACACATATGTTTTTCTGAAAACGTTAACATTCTTCATTACAATTTAAACTCTACTCACTCCTTCAGAGAACGAAATACACAACATAAATTATGTTACCTTAACCTTCAGAATAACACAGATATTCAGCCGAAAACCAAAGACCGTACAAGAAAGACATCACACACACAAAGAACTGAGTGATCAACAATACACCTGACATTTGCTACTGGAAAACAATGCCTACTTACGGTGAGCTCTTTGAAAAGTCGAATGACGCAATTGAAAGCCTGCCTGCCTTCTGTCAATAACACGGTAATTAGTCTAGTTTGAATGTAACATTGATTGTGTTAAAAATAAACTGTTGGATTTGCTGTCTGGGTTTTTAATTTTGAAGATTGTCGTTGAATATTATAGGTTGTCATTTTGTAATAGTGTAGAAATATGAGAGTATACGGCTTGTTTTGTTTTTCATCTATATTTAGGTAGGTTTTTAATCCTCATATTGTGAGGTCTTTTGTTAAAAATCGAACAAAATGCCGGAGCCTTTTTGAGTTCAAAGAAAACGAGGCAAAATGTTACGAAATAACATAACGTCATGTTTTTCATCACCGACTGCAAAATTGCATTTACAATGTAATAGATTTGACATTGTCACGTCGTTTTTACAGTTATGCGTATTTTCTATATGAAAACAAACGTTTAAAGTAGGCACTAACAGAGGAGATCAAGACCAAACAAAATATTAAAACAGCAACAACAGTATGTATTTACTTAAAAAATCATCGTTAAATCACAAAATGTCAGAACTACTCAATTTATTATTATTATACTAACCAACTAAAAAGTGTCAAAGCAAGCTGTCCGGTCAAGGCTTCCCTCTCGTATTTGCCCATAAACTATCCGGCACACGACAGTCACCACGCCCAAACCTAGTTCACTTAACGAATTGAAAACAGAATCTAAAATTCAATTACCTACTGCAAAACTTTGACAGAACATTTACATACTAAACTGATCTGTAGGATTTGGGTTTAAACGATATTCGTACCTAGTCGTGTTTATTTAATTGCTATTTTTGATTGTGTCTATATTTATCCTGTTCACAACAGTGTAAACCGACCAAAGATCATTAAAATGTAACACCCACTTTTCACTATTTATGTTATGAGTCCCATGTAATAGGGGGTGAGCCTATTGCCATATACCGTACCGGACACAACTCCAGACTCAGTGCTAATACTGATATTAAAAAAAATTAAGTTATTAAGTGTCGTAGATGTTCAAAAAAGAACCCCTTTGGAGATAAAAGGCGTGATGTTGAGTAATTTTTTATTTTATAAAGCGTTGCTGCACTCTTGAATTTTCTCCTGTGTCGTGGGTACGTTTACAAACATTTATAAAAATAAATATCTACATTAAAATATGTTCGTTGGTTTTCATGAATAGAATCTCCTTACATTACGTGAGACTTAAAGTGTATCTCAAATTTACTTTTTATTATATATTATATATTAAAAAAGGGATTGAGGTTTTGAGGATATTTCCAGTTGCATTACATGGGATTCATAACATAAGTGGAGAAAAGTGGGTGTTACATTGTACAGTGGCATTAAGTTCCGTAGGCAATGTGCACTTCTGCCTACTTTTTTGAGGATAAAAGACATGATAATATTATGTTCCAGGTGCTCAGTCAGGTACCTACTTCTAAATACAGATTCTTAATATCTTGTTCTTCTTATTCTATTTCAAATCACAAAAACGATAATATTCTCTCTCTAATAGAATAACTTTTACCTAAATAGAGAAAAAAGCCATTACTTATATCGGAAAATCCTTCCCACTTATAGAATCGTGTCGTATCTTAATATCCTTAATGACAATCTCACCGTAATACCCACATAGGAGGGTAAAGGGGTAGTCTCTTTATCACAGATTAGTAAAACATTTTCTCTTTATTGGCTGAGAATCGCACAACTTTGTGTCTATAGACACTAATTTCAGAATCACTGAGACACGGATTTATAAAACGTATCCGAATATTTTATTGTCTATTAATCACAAGTTTTAGAACAAAAATTTTGTAGCATAGTGGTTTTCCCAGTTGCAGTCCCCACACTTGGGGTATTAGCCAATACCCCAAGTGTTGCAAGCATACATAGGACACGGTAACTGCCGTCGTGGTATAAAAAAAGTTATTGCATTCATTCTGTTTTAGATCGAAATAGACATTAAAAGTCATTTGCTATTTACGTATGTACTGCATGAATTAGAAAACAAATCTTTGCAATACACTAAGTTAAATTATTTAATTATAATTTACTCTCGGCACTAAACATCTAAATCTTAAACTCAGCAGTCTAACTAACATTATTTCAGCAAACAAAACAATGACTATGTAAATATGTGAACGTAAAAAAACAAAACACGATTGACACGCTACACTAAAACTGACAGATGACATTTAGCAACACTGTCATACTAGACGTAACTACGTGAGCTGTCGAAATGAAAACGTTTTTACTCTGTAACGAACTCAGTACGTTTGACATTCATATTAACTGAACGGACAAAGATTTCCTTTGTCAAATAAAAAAAGAGATGAGCAAGATAACGCGCGCGCGCCTCGTGATGGTTCCGCGTTTAAAAATTATATTATTTTTAAATTTTTCAATGGAATAGCATTGGACATATGTATATGTAGTTATGGTTGTACGTATCAGACCTTTTTCGGTCACAAACTCTAATATAGTTCGGAACGATAATATACAATCAAGATAATTTGAACACAGAAACCAGCTCAAATTACTTCATGTCTTCGGCTATAGTCAATCTACGTGATATTGTGACATAACTTATTTCGAATATAGTACTGCATGAGTTATGAAATAGGCGCATCACGACGCAATATAGAACTGAAAACAAACAGGTTCATTATGGAGTTTGAGAGACGAGTAGCTACATGAAGGCTCAAAAGTGCATCTTTTTACTTTTGAACAATTAATCGTGCTGGTGAAATTATTGTGAATGGTTTCGCCATAGTGTTGACAAAATTAAACTGAATGTTTCGATAAAAATGTACTAATGCATTCCATTTATAGTAGAGACTCGATTTAGTTGTAAGATTTTCGTAGAATGAGCCCTGTTTTAAGGCACAAAAATCCATAAACCAAACCCCTCGATCACGGAACTCTGAAAAACGAATTCGCAATGGCGCGAATACATTATGGCGGTGGTGAATTTCGCGCGTTTTTCGCCTGCGTTTCCCGCGCTTTTGATTAAGCCAAGCCCCAGGCCAGTCGCTCGCGGATCGTCGCGTCGTACGCACGTCCCCGCGTTCCGTCATCGAATCAGTAAAAATTCGCTCTTCGGATGCCCGCACTATTCTCGTATCGGTGACAGAAAATGTATATTTAGACAATTTATTTGTGAAGGATAAATTAATACCGAGTGTGACAGTGTAGATCCGATTTTTTTTTGAGTGTCCAGTGCTGTGAATGTGGTGAAGATTTTTTTTTGTATGTGATTTTCCGAGATTTTTTTGCGAGACAAAGATAAAGGGGTGAGTAGATTAATTAGGTTTTTTTTCTTGTTTCGAATATTCTGTCTATACTTTTTTCTAGAGTTTCGATCTCATTTTCTAGAATAATATTGTCTATTCTGATAGTAATGAACTATAAATTACAATAATCCAATTATATAAACCAATAAATTATTTTTCTCATTACTCGGGACTGGCGTAGTACCTAAGTACCTAATATGAGAATGAGCGATGCCAATCAATTTGCCTTCCAACTTTTGATTGATTGAACAATGTCAGCGCGTTCCACTGTAATTATAACTGAAGATGATTTCGAAATATTTTATGACGATTTTCACAAAACTGATTTTACGATTAATAAAATTGTTAAATGATTTTATTGCCTCTGTAACACGTAGTGGTGACTAATTTTTTGTAACACATTATTTATAAATAGTGATACTATTTTAAATGTTTGTTCCTCACTCATTCATTTTATTCAAATGCAACGCATTATATTATGAAGTCATAGTTTCAATAAATAATATCGTGATGACAGGTAATAAACGTCACATTTTAATAATATATTACTTATTTTTAAACAAAAAACACGAAATGTAATATGGCTCTATATTATAAATATCTTTTTTAAACTTGTTCGAGATACGAAATTCTAATTCTATGTTTTCGTGACCTAGTACTATGTGCGCTCAATATAAATATTATATTGTCCGCTATATATTAAAATATAAGAATGAAAAAAGTGTAAGGGACAACTAGAATTTCAAATTCAGCAAAGGAAATAGACACTGGCTAAATAGGTCGATGAAAAAAAATTTAAAAAATAAAAATTACATTTTGATCTATTATTCAGCCTATAGTTATGTGAATTAAGATGTTGTTTTTAATATTAATGAAATTAATCGAAATGCTGTATTTACTTACACAATTTTTTAACAACACGATGAAAATAGATCTATGCCCACTATTATCTACTATTTTCTGTGTAGACATTCTTTGTATAAAGTAAATCGGAAGATATGATTAAAGCGCGTCCATTGTACTGGAAATCAGTTGGGCGTTACCGCAACACAGTGATGGGAAAATTCGGTTGAACCTACCCAATTACTTTCTGATATACTGAGACTTGTGGTTTTAGATCGTTTAAAATGGACACTATTTTAGTATTAGTTCCTATATAAATAGTTTGTGTAATTTGGAAGACTAACCCCTAACTAAACTAAACTAAATACTGGAAGGCTACAAAATTTTAATTCGTGCTTATGTATATTTCTGTCACTACATATTCTTTGTAAAATGATAGAGATTGTACGATATTTATTACGATAACATAACATCACGCCTATTATCCTCGGAGGGGTAGGCAAATGTGCACATTACGGCACTTAAATGCCATCGTACAATGTAACACCCACTTTTCGCTATTTATGTTATAAGCCCCATGTAATATGAATAGGGAGTGAGCCTATTGCTATATACCGGGCACAATTCCAGATTTCTACGGATAATTCTTAAAAAAATACCAGTATTACTTTGCCCGACCCGGGAATCGAACCTGAGACCACTCGGCCAACGAGGCAGTTATTACGATAGTACAACCTAATATCGAGTAGTTTTTCAGTACTCGGGCATATGCCTATCTGCCTTTCGGAGCCGCAGAGAATTTAACGGGTTACCGGGGCTCCGACTCGAAGTGCAGGAGTGGGAACGGATTGGTTTTTAGTCTTAAAAAAAATATGCCAATCTGCCCTAGCTAAAAGTATTTTTGGGTCATCCTTTTTGATGAAATGATTGTCTTTTTGATAGGTTATTGAAATTAAACATTTACTTTTTTATACATTTCGATGAAATATAATCTTCAATGCCAATCTGATTAGTCAAAACCTTAGTAATCGAAGACCATAGGACTTTTTTGGACATACTTTCTTTACTTTTGTATTTTTTGTGTGCAAATTTTCTTCTTCTTTCATTACAAACCACTGAGTTTACTTCAAGTAAACGGATAGCAGCGAGTTTCCTTTGCAAATGAATAAAACAAGATGTACATTTCAGTCCTAGAAAATCAAGCGACGGAATATACAGTAACTGGTTATATGGTTGTATAAAATCGATACCTACGTCATTATGACAGTACTAATCGTTGCACCTAGAATTATTGATTGGTTATTTTTATTTTATAGTAGAATATGTGCTTGGGGTGTAAGGGAGTGGACGCCAGTTTGATTGTCGAGTAAGAAGTCTCACTTCTCTTATTTCTCTTATTTTAATGGATTATTTTTGAAATTTGATTTTTGATTATTGTATATTGATTTTTTATTATTATTGTTTTGATTATTTATTATTGTTATTTTCAACTCGACCATATTCAATTGATTATTTCCGGCATTTGATTGTTTTGTCTGATTAGGTATGTATTATTTGACGTGTGCCATATTTCTGACATTTTATCTTATTGTTTTTAATCGCAATTGTTTTGTTCTTAGCTTTAAATTTAATTTAATTTTAATTTTTTTGGCCAGTTTTATGTATATTTTTATGATTTTTTGCATGTTGTGGCCTCCTATAATTGAGGAAGCACATAGCTAAATTCCTTGATCACGTAAATAAAAATAATTTTCCATTTCCATAATTCTCTGTCATATCACGACTATAAAGTCGTCCTTGATTACAAGAGACTGATTTTAGACGTAACTGTCGAAATACGAGTATCTGCTTTCCTAAATCTAGGTACATTTTGCTACCTGTGTGCACCTTTGTTACCTAGTCTTTGGGTTTATTTGGTTAGGTTATGCGAAGTATTGACTGAATTTAAATTTTAGATATGGAATTTATGATGATTTCAGACATCCAACTTCGTTACAATATGGCAAATGATCACGTTAATTTTTCGGCACCTAACTATGGTACTAAAATGGCTACCACGCTTTATATTCTTTTTTTTTCACCACTACAAGGGAATAAAAACCGTCACGCTATTTTAAAAGCACCTAGGCCTATTCTAGATGTGTGGTTCGAAAAATAGGTCACCTCTTTTTGCGTGGCTGTCATTCTTTGCGATCTGATAAGATTATTGTGTTCAGGAGACGGGTATCTGCGCAGAGTGGGCTACTTTCTTATATTACTCTATGCTATATAAGTGTCTAAGTGAAATACATATGTGAGAATAAGCTTGGTTTCATGATGGAAAATTTATCGATTAAAATGTTGCTTAAGGTATTGAAATGATTGAAAACTGCACCCTTTTTACGGTAAAAATGGGGTTCATTTTTTTAAAAGGCATTTGTAATTCCTTTGTAAATGCGCGTATCCATAAGCGGGACTGAACGCTTCAGTAAGGTATTCAGTTATCTCATCTGTCTCTCAAACTTAAAAATAATATTACTTGCATTTCTCAAAGAGGAAAAATGAAGAATAATTATAAAAATGTACAATTCGCAGTCTGGTCTAAACTACAAAAAAAAAATAGACAAAACAGTCTTTAAATGATAATAAAAGTATACAAACCTCACAAAAACTATAAACAGGTTTTTAAATACACTCTCAGTTATATGTAAATAAAGATTATAATTGTTTGAACGTCACATTATTATAATGAAGTTGCAAAAGAACAACAATAAAATAATGTGAGTAAGTAGGATTTTAAACAGTCGAAATTTATTGTCATTTCCTAGACATTAGAGGTTTTTATGATTAACTTTGATATTTCAAGTTTTATTTAATTACTGCAAACATTAAATAGGCTAGAAGGGTGTGTGTAGATACGGAGCCGCGGAAGACTTATCAGGTTGCCGGGACTCCAGCTCGAATTGCAAGAGTAGGAACGGGGTGGTTTTTAGTCAGTAAGAGTCTGACACTACCTCCCGCCTCATCCAAGGCGGGAGAAGTCATTGGATGGCTTTCCCCCTTTAAAAACAAAAAAGGATGTGTGTAGATCAGTCAACTTCATTGCTAATCAGTCATTACAATGACATCCGGTCTATCTCCGAAGATTTGAAATTCAAAAACCTAAAACTGTAATCAAAATGGAGTTTCATACGTGGTTGACGGTGAAGATCAGATTTGGTTTTTGAGTCAAATATTAAAACTTTTGGATCAATGTACAAATTTATAATATTTATTACACTTAATAATTTATTTACCGATCTTATTAAAACATTAAACATTATCATATGATAATAAACCGCCTCATTGTTTACGTATGTAAATATTTTACATAAGTGGATGTTAATGATTGCAAATCGTATTATACTGATGTGTGTATAAATCGTTGAAATATTGAAAATTTACAATATTCTTAGTTTAACTCGTCGAGTACCGTCATTATAGACACAATTATAGAACAATAGGTTGCGGTCACCGGTGACCCCTTGGTGTTTGACAGTTTAAACAAAGCATTTGTTTCGAATAATCATCGTTATTAAGTAAAAATCGCGGGTTACTCACGTGAGTATACTGAGAAAAGTTCCACTAGTTTCGAACTATAGAGGGATTCTTTCTCACGAGCAGCGTGCGTCACGGCGATGTCGTGCAGTCTACGAATACTACTAGAAGTACTATTAATAACTTTAATTAATTGAGTATGTCTAACGATAGTTAATTATGAAAATCATCGTCATGCTAATAAATATGGATATAAACTTATTTAAGTAGCTTACTTCCATTGTTAAGAGACTATTTACACCACTAGCGCCATCTACAGACGCCAAAAACTAAAAATGTAATTAAATTAAATAGTCACGCAATAAAAACGTGCAATTAGTAAATATGGACGGATGAAATGATGTAAGATCTTTTCATTTGATATTATTTATTTACTCTTGGGTATTTGAGATAACTTTTATGGAGCCACAATTCTAGTAATAAAATCTTATCTGTAAAATCCGTACCAACCTACTTCTGTAGATTAATTTTTTTTTTCGCGGCAAGACATTGCTAGACACATCTTGGTTTTAATATTAAAACATGTGAAGTAAGGTTTTACTTAACATTTTTAATATCATTTCTATCCTAAGGCATAAGCG